CTTAAATTCTGAAAGAAATTATTCTTTAGGATTATTGTTTTGTTCTTTTTTTCTTTGATCAAATTCTTTTTTCACTTTCACTTTCACTTTCACTTTTATTATTGCTCTCAATTTCTGCTTTCTCAGTTTCTCTCTATTTATTCGAAATTTCACGTTCATTTTCTCATGATTGGATCGTTTTCTTCTGCTTATCAACAGAGGTTATTTAAAACCAAAAAAATATTTTTAGATTACAAGAATACTTTAAAGATAATATTGATTTAGTGATATAATTAACCTATAGCTGGGTTAAATAAATCATAAATAGATAAAAGTCTTATTAATTAACCCAGAGTTGTGAGAAGTTGTGGATTCATACCTTTGCGAAGGGTATTTGCGCTTAAGTGTATATAACGATCTCGGAACTGGAACTCGGCTCTGAGATTAACAAATCTGAGCCATTATCCATTACACCAACCGCAAATCCAGATTTATAGCACCTGATATCCCCAGAATTCGCCCGTCTAGCTATTAACCAGGCTCAATGTTGCTTACCTTCGCTGAGCCTACGGGAATCATTGTTTCAACAGAATGTGATTGTAAACACCTTCACTGTTCTACTTTCTTCCATCTTTTCCTAGCGACACAATTATATTTTTCTCTCGTTCTCCTTACTCACTCTCTCTTTCTCACACTTAACATCTATCTATCTATCTATCTATCTATCTATCTATCTATCTATCTATCTATCTATCACAGTCTATTCCTTATCTATATATCTATCTGCCGGTATGCATGCTTCTGTATATATATATATATATATATATATATATATATATATATATATATATATATTATATATATATATATATATATATATATATATATATATATATATATATATATATATATATATATGAGTTAGACAAACCTGTTTAGGTTTTCACCTAAACGGATCGTCAGGAAAGTTTGCCAAACTTTCACTGATGATCCGTTTAGGTGAAACTTAGGTAGGTTTGTCTGGCTCACTAGGTGTATCTAGGTCTGCTCTACGGTTGTATTGAGCTTTTTTGTTAGTTAGTTGTTACTCGTATCGGGGTTTTTTCTTTGGGCTTCGGACCTGCATCTGTGCGATTTTTTTTTGTCGGCAGAAGTTCATGTTTGTAGCTCTTTCTTTTTTAAAACCTTTTTTTTCCTCGAGATTGATTTGATTAGCAAATCAAAAATTGAGGGTTTTCCGAAACGAGTCTAGTTATCTATATATATATATATATATATATATATATATATATATATATATATATATATATATATATATGGTAGTATAGTAATATGGTTTTATATTTTTCCGAGTGGTAGACCTTGCTGGTATATTGTTTGCGACCTTCATATAATTTAATCTTCCCAATTGAACACAGATTTTCGATCGTATTCAGAACGGGACTTGATGGTGGCCATTGAATTATCTTATCTTGTGTAAACCTGTTACGCTCAAGAAAATCCTCATGTAACGTTAGATACATGAGAAGGAGCATTTTTGTGAATAGACACACATTTCACTTTGAAACTTCAAGCCTGGGACATCTTTCATCGATTTTGAATGGTGCCGCCTCTTTACTGTTTTTGTTAGCCACAGACACATCGGGCATCGGATAAAATCCATCTTTTGGCCCACCCATTAGGCCCACCTCGTGTCACACGAGATTCGTCCGTGAAAATTGCTTTAAAAAAGTCAATTTTGATTTATTTCTTGATCAAACAATATTTACTTTATTTAGAGGAGATATATTGTCATATTACCATTTTGAAAGTATTTTACACATTTTGCCCTTCCTGGCTCCCTCAAATCTAGCCTGTTCATAAAGCTGTTGTTTCGTCATAACTCGCTTTAGTTTACGTTCCCTTTGAGGAAACAAGCCTTTTGCTTCTAGTTCTCAACTTAGTTATGTAACAGCCCTCTTTGTCATTCGATGGCATCTGCGAAGTTCATTCGATACCTTCAATGTGGAAAATCTCTGACTCAGTAACTTTATAATTTTTTATTATATTTGTTACCATGTTACCATGTACGTATTATGGAAAAAAAAAGAAAAATAGTTTTTATTAGATTACAGAGGCCTTAAAAAGATATCATTATGCAGTTTTTATGATAAATCAAATAACTTTAATAAAACATCTATCTATCTATGTATTTATCTATCTATCTGTCTGTCTGTCCGTCAGTCTGTTCCAGTCTTTTATTCTATTGCCTTTTCTGACAAAGAAATGTAGTTTTATAGACTGAATAAAAGTCTGTTAAAATACTGGAAAAGTTTGGTTTGGTTTGTTTCACGGCATATCAACCTCAATGGATTATTTAATGCCGACAAAATTTTTATTGTTTGTAATAATTTTTTTTTTCAAACATGTATTGCTAGTAATATTTTTCCTTCAAAAATTCTATTTCTGGCAATATTTTTTCCCTAGAATATATAGCTGGTAATATTTTTTTTGCAAAATATATTGCTGGTAATGCATTTTTATTTATTTATTTTTTTTTGCGTAAAATGTATTGATGGTAATAATGTATGGCTGGTAATATTTTTTTCTTCAAAAATTTATTGCTGGTAATATTTTTACAAATTATTTCTGGTATTAAAACCTCTTTTTTACATTTTCATAGTGTTTTGACCCCAGTTTCGGAGTTAACTATTTATCCATAGCTGGGGCCTTAAAAGGTGCTACCACCCCATGTCAGAATGGACCTGGGAAAACCAGCAATTAAGAGGTGGTTCCACGCTCGTCAAGACCTCCTGATCAGAGGCCTTTGCTGTTGAATGTAGTTTATCGTCTTACCCAGTAAGCGGGTAGTTTATCGTCATACCCAAGATGGATGAAAAAACTGAATACAATTCTCAGGAACATAATCATTATTAGTAATTAGAAAAGTTCATTAAGAAACTATATATTTTAGTCTTTTTTTTTTTTTAAAAAAAAGTATGTGAAATTCTGAAAAAATTCTAATAATTATAATTTTAAAATTATCTCTGAAGGGTGCCATGGATAAATCGTCGTCTAAATTACGTAAAAATGAAAATAAAACTGACATCTCATTTTATCGAATATAGTTACCAAAATTACACAAAAATATCTTAAAATAATAAAGTGTATATTTATTCAACAAATTCCCCATTGATTTCAACAACGGCCTCCAGGCTACTTTGGAATTTCCTGCAAATTTTATAAGAAGTCTCCTTGTTTAAGTTGGTGAGTGCTGCCATAATCCTTGCCTTCAGTTCATCTTTGGTGTTACAAAGAGTTTTGTTGGTCTCTCGCTTAACTGTGCTCTATGCATAATAATGAAGGGTTGCAGTCTGGGTAGTTAAGTGGCCAGATGTAAGGCTAGATGTGGTGGCAGAAAGCCATGACTAGATGCTCCTGCTTGTGTGCGATGGTGCAGGGTCCTATTGCCAGACATAAGGTATTCCAGCAGGCATCCTCTTCACACAGAGCAGCACTAACTCCTCAAGGTACTTGATATAGGCCTCCGTGTTGATTCTTAGACCCTGTTGGGAAGACGAATGGAGGCATAACGTCGCCATCACTAGTAATCACTCCAAAGTCGATGAGGTTGATATTGACCATTTTTTGCTGTAGTCTCTGAATATGGAATCCAGTGAAGTCCGTAATATCTTCAATATCAGAGGTTGACAGTGAAGATTCAGAGAAAGTAGCGGCTGTTAAGTAATTCTTTAAGTTTTCGATATCAGGTTGGCAGTGAAGATATTTTGGGAGAAGAAACAAAATGGCTGCCGTTATACACGTCGGATTGAATATTTTGAGCTTTCTGATTGGTTAACCCTTCCGTTGGTGAACTATAAAATGAGTCAGCTCATTTTGACTGGCTCACTAGTACTTACATACCCATAAAACTGCAACAGTTGACTGGATATATTATCCAACTCTTTCCGAATCTTCTACACTATCCTCCGGTTTTACACCCAAATACTCCCAAATGCCAAGCAGTACGGCATGCCCTTTCCAAATTTCTGCCAGAGTGAATTGCGTCATGGAGCTCTGTTTTTTTTTTTTTTTTTTCACGGACGGTGCCCAACTGACTCTACTATACTGTGCAGGTGACAAATGAAAAACAAATAACGTGCTGCTCGAAATTAAAAATATAGTCTGGCGACAATTTATACATCGTGCCTTGTATTTTGTAAATTTTTTCCTTTAGAAAATATTGTAACGATGTCATTAAAAGAACATGTTGGTATCGTTCTTGTTAAAATAAGAAAATGAGATAAAACTTCTCAAACCGCCAAGTTTGTTTTCATGTATTCTTCCTTCCTGTTTCATCAGTGGGATCTTGTATTATCATTCTAAAGAACCTTCTAAGTTCTCATGACAAAGTCATGACTTTCCCTACAATTTTTAGAGCTTACTTATTAAAATAAGCACGTAGCCGATTGGCTTAAACGTCAGCGTACTAGCCATGCCACCTGGGGTCGAATCTGCCCATTGGCTATGTTTTGGTAAGACTTTTCTCTTCTTTTTTGGAAGCCTCTTTTTTTTTTTCTTTTTCTTTCTCTTGTTTTGTTTCTTTCTCTTCGGTTCTTCATCTCTTTCTTTCATTCCTTATCCAGTCTTTCATTCTTTTTTGAGCCTATTTTTTGAGTCGTCTGTCTTTTTCTTTCATAATCTACTGTCAATTTTTCTTCTCTTGTTTCTGTTTCATTCTTACACTCTCTTTCTTTTCACTTCATCTTTCGAGCATTTCTTCATTCAGCAACATTTTCTGAGATTTCTCTGCCTTTTCCTATATCTTATTCACTTGGTTTATCTATCCACGTGGTTCTTTTTACACTTTTTCTATTTTCTTTCTATTCCTATATTACGTCATTTTTTCTGTTCTATTTGGGGTTTTTTTTTCAATTTAAAAAAAAACAAACTCTACAACCCTTTCTTCCTCTAGCCTTTTACTTTGACTTTGATAATTATTATTTTCATTCCTCCATATCTATGATTGTATGATACACTCTCTCACTTCCTCTGTCTCTCTTGTTCAATCTTTCTCTTTCGTTACGCTTTTTGTGGTTGCTATATTCCCCCGTTCTTTCTTTTAATTTCAAGGCTTTTCTTTTTCTGATCACTCATTTCTCCCTCTTCTTTCGCTTAGTCTTTCTTTATCCATTTTGTTTTCTCTCTCTCTCTATCTATCTTTTTCTCTAACTATCTATGTCTTTTCCAAACGATCTAGTTGTCAAACTACATGTGTACTTGTTTTCCATTTATCTAACATATTTCAGCATTAATATTCTTTTCACTCTCTTTACTCATCGTAACATTATACATAGATCTTCATCTTATCTCTTCATATACCATTTTTATCGGCTCCTGTCTCTCTCTGTTCCTCATTCTTCTCAATATGTCTTTCCCATCGTTTTTAAACGCTAAACTTACTCTGTTTTTTTCTACTCGTCTCTCTAATATTTATCACTTTTTCTCTCTTTCTAACCGATATACATTGACCTCTTTTTTCCTACATGTCGTCTTTTGTATTTGTCATATAACCTTTGTTAAGTTTTATAACATAATTCTCTTTATTTGTTTTTCGTTTTTTTTTCTCTCTCACTCCTCATTTTCTTTCTATATGTATCTTTAGTCTATCACTATTTTCCTCCCTACGTATTTCTAGTCGATCACTCTTTTCCTCTGTATGTCTTTTTAATCTATCATTCTTTTCCTCGCAATGACTTTCTAATCGCTCACTCTTTTTCTCTCTATGTCTTTATAGTCTGTCACTCTTTTCTGTGCTATGTCTTCCTAGTCTATCAGTCTTTTCCTCTCTGTCTTTCTATTTTACCGCTCTATTTCATTCTATGTTTTTATCGTCTATCACTTTTATTCTTCTCTATGTATTTCAAGTCTATCACTCTTTTCCTCTCTATGTCTCTCTAGTGTATCATTCTTTTTCTCGCTAGGTCTTTCTAAGTCTGTCACATTTTCCATTCTATGTTTTGCCAGTCTTTCACTCTTAACCTCTCTATGTCTATCACTCTTTTCTTCTCTACGTCTTTGTAGTCTTTCACTCTTTACCCCCCCTATGTATTTTTAATATATCATTTTTCTTCCCTCTGTTATCTAGTCTATCACTCTTTTCTTCTTTATGTTCCTCTAGTCTATCACTTTTTCCACTTTATATATCTAGTCTAGTACTCTTTTCTTCTCTCTATATTTCTAGTATTTCAATCTTTTTCATTTCTATGACTTTCTTTCTTCCTTCCTTCTTTCCTTAATCCTGATCATTGTTTTTTTTTTACATATCTTTCGTTTATTGACATTTCTGTACCTACCGCGTCCTGAAAATTACAAGACCCACCCATTTCGCTGTGTATTCTATATCTTCAGTACCCTCGCGTCTCTAAACAAACTTGCACTTGCTCCTCATTCGCTGCAGCTGAGCGACCACATACAAACCCCAAAATAGCGCTTTGACCCTCAAAATACTTTTATATTCGCTCAAGAAAGTGGCGAAGAGTTAGACTGTAGGTCTAAGAGCGAGACGTCTTAGAAAGATGTCAGACCTGCCCTTTACCCAGAGTTTCTCCTAAGAGGCAAAAGAAAATGAGAGGAAGAAAAAAAATCAAATAAGATTTGAAGAAGAATTGCCAACGCTACGTGCTGACAGTGTCTGGGGTGAGGTTGTGGCCAGTGCGGAGATAAGGCAGACAAGAATTGCTTGTTAGTACGCCAATGATATTTTGTAACAATGGTCGTTCCGTATAAAAGGAGTCACTTGGACTTAATGGACCGTTCCATTCTTTGTGCAGTTTATTGTAGCGGGTTGAACGCGTTTCCTATAAATAGACTCAGCCAAAGAATTACTCTTATTGAGTATTCTCATCACGACTTTGATTTTACTAAAGTTCGCCCAATACAAAGCCCAAGAGACACTCAAGGTAGAGGGTTACTAAAGTGTGTGATAGTAACTTAAGAAAGAGAGAAAGGAATGAAAATTACGAATATATAGCGGATAGCTAACGACTGAATCTAAACTTCAAGACGTCAAAATTGTAGTTTCGGTGAAGCACCAACGCAAGAGAAGTTCTTGGGAAAATGTTTTCGAAGTGAAATTCCTTTTATGTCATACGCAGGGAATGAGGGTGATTCAACAATGTGGATATTTGGTTGTTTGGTTGATTTTGTTTAACATTATATCAACCGGTATACGTTATTTAATGCTGAAATCTAAATATTTTTCACGCATTTTTATGACTTCATCTACAGATATTTTGTCCATATTTCTGAGATGAAGTATTATAACCATGTACACTATTTATAGTGTTAAAACTGTTCTCATCTTTCTTTCCATATTCACGACATTTCGGTCGTTGTACGCCCTGGCTTTCTTCAGGCCATATACGTTGGTTATTTCGAACCGAATTCATTATTTAGTCCACGAGAGTAGATTCTTCTAGTTCCACACATCATGCCTCTTCTGGTTATTTCAGTTTAGTTTACACATGGCCCAGTTTCAGTTCCACAGGTGAGAAAAGATACTGTTAACATAGAACTTATGGTTAAATCTAGCCATTTCAACTGTAAAAGGGTGAGATCTTGTCGTCAATCTAGTACTGCGTTTAAATTTATAAAGTCTAGATAACTGTTGTGGTACGATCCACCTAATTTACATAGTTGGAGTACCGACCATATGAATATGGTTGGTACCGGGAAGACGGGGGGAGGAAGAAGAGATCCAATCCAGAAACTCTGCCCGACTGCGACTAAGTTAACCCATTCTACAGGAACGGTCTTCCCAAGAATATACCAAACTATCTGTAAATATTGTGTACACGTTCTTGTGTCAATACATTTTGTTTAAGTACATTTTGTGTTGTATTATTATTATTCCATGTTTTATTCAAGTTTCAACAATAACAAAGGGGGAAGTTCATCGGAATAATTACCATGAAAGAATTTAAGTTAGGCTATAGTAAGGTTTTAACCGTTATGTAGAAAATAGTAGCTTTCTCTGTAAATCTTTTTTAGTCTGTTTCTTTTATTTTAGTGCATTATTTTAACTGTTTTTAGTAACGGGGATATATTGTGTTGGAGGGTTTTGGCACTTCCACACATCTACATTTCTACCAAACTCTGTACATGGCTCGTCGTTATGACCAGTACTTCAATGATAATGGGCACAGTTTTATATTCGACCGCTTGTAAATCACTCTCGTTTACTCGTTCTACCTATTTCCATGTAAAGAGCTCAGGCGAACTATATCCCTTACTTCCACCAGTTCAAAGTTTCCCAAGACCCGCAATCTCACCTACATTGTAGCAAGCCACTGTCATTCACTTCGCATTGCACTGGAGAGATGTAAGTTCCACTCGAACAGCTTGGTTCCACGAAGCGCTACTTTGTGAAACCGACTCCCAAGAGGATGCTTACCCCACTACTACAATTCTATCCTGTTCAAATATTGTGTTAAAAGCTATCTTTCAGGATTACTGCAATCCTATCCTGTTCAAATCTAGGGTTAACCCTTATATTCCCCCATCACTATAATCTTATCCTGTTCAAATCTAGCATTTGCCGTTATCTTTCTCGAACACTACTATCTCTTCCTGTTCAAATCTAAGATTAACCGTTATCCCCCCCATACATTCCCGTAATATGTGGCTCTTACTTCCTACTCTTTAACCCTCTACCCCGAGCGGCTCTATGGCCTTGTGCGGTGTGAACATTATTGTAAAAATAATATGACAGTTTTTAATTTCTTTTTTTTTTACCTCATTCCCCTGAAATCTGACAATTGTTCCAATCTGCTTTTTAATATACTCTTTTTGCCGCTTTCGTGAGATTAGTTCCAATTTAAATATTTAACATAATTTAATGCTTATTTTTAACAGAATCTGGTTTGTGCATAGAGACCAGCCATTTAGAGAATACCATCTTATTTTTCCGACATTCCCAAATGAATCCTATTTCCCATTTAATCAATGTTCTGCATTCGCTTTTAATAGGATTGACAATGTCTGTTCTCCATCATTGCCAATATACACTTAGTAATTACACTATTTGGTTCTATATCTGTTTCTTATGTCCTGTTTCGACATTAATAAGATTCCAGTTTCTGTCTTCAAATGCTCACTTCACAGCCATGATCGTGTTACTACATCCACTTTTTTCTCTTAATATATTTGATTCTTATTTTCTGTTCCGACATTAATAAATTTCCTGTTTTTCTTTTCAAATGCTCTCTTCGCGGCCATGTTCATGTTACTAAAGATCCCAATCTCTCAATGTTTGTCATGAAATATCCGACCACTTTTTTTCTTCTTACTTCCAGTATTCCGTTCCTAATATATCTGACTCTTATTTTCGGTTCCAACATTAATAAGATTCCAGTTTCTTTCTTCAAATGCCCTCTTCACAGCCATGATCATGTTGCTACAGCTCTAAATGCCTCAATTTCCCTCCTGAAATATCCCTCTACTTTTTTCTTCTATTGTGGAGCTTTCTTCGTCTCTAGTTTTTCTGCTATCAGTTCTAATATTAGCTATTATGTTAGGCGTCATAAAAGTTCCCAGTGATATTTTTATGGAAGAGAGAGTTTTAAAACACCCTTGGAAACCAATATTTGGCTAGAAACCTTTGCTTATATAATTAATCTTCCATTACTCGTTCTTATATGGCAAGACCCTCAATAGCAAAATCGATACAATTTTTCTTACATTTTTTTTTTACTTTTTTTCAAATATAAGTCTACCGACATTAATTTTGGAAAAGGAAGTATATCATTGTTATTATTAATACCACTCGCATTTCTACATCTAGTGACTTTCAGCTGAGTTCTAATGGCAGGCAGTCTTCACAATTATTCTTTGTCACTTCTTTTTATGCTAGTTGTTTTCAATATCTGCCTTGTGTAAATGGTTCCAACTATTCCTTTGATTTTCAGTTTATCTAGCCTTTGTCTTCGGAATAGTTCTTAGTGCTCTGATAACGCATGGAACTACTGTCATCTTCACTTTCCGGCATAAATCTGTCATGGGAGGTATATTTATTTAACATTCCATTTCCTTTTTGAAGCAATCTGTGGTATGCCAGAGCAGAGCAATCCATTTTCTGGCGTGTTTTCTTCTTGTATGCTAATAACAAATCCTATCTCCGGGTCTGAATTGGAGTATCTGTTTTTATTTCAAACCCATAAAGGGTTTCATATGCTTAATTCTCTTGGAAAAAGTCAGGTATATATGTATACTATTCATATTCATGGTTAAAACAGAGTCACTTGCACAGTTCTCAGTGGATTAACTTTCACACCCATTCTTATTCTTGTTTGCTCTCTCGGGTTATTTACTATATCCACTGATTACGTGCTTGATTTCCTAGTATTTTATATATACCCAGGCTATATTTTCTGCTTAATTGTGTTTTATCTACAGTTATTTCTTATGTAACAATAACATATTTTACCCAATGAAGGCGATAAAGCCACTAAAACGCAAGTTGTTTTTAAGAAGAAATGTCAGTCTTAGTGACATTACTCTAGACCTAAGGTAAAGCTATGTAGTAAATATATACAATCATGTTGCACAATTCCAGCAGTGTCTACATCTGAATAGCTCCTACTATTCTCTTAATTTTCAGTTTATCCAGACATTGTTCTAAGGGTATTTTGGAGTCTATTGCTCTGATAGCAACTGGGGCTACTCTCATCTTCAGTTTCCTTAATTTTCTTAACTCTATGGCAAGGTAGGAAAAAATGTTGCTCCAAAGATGACATTATTAAAACCAACAAGAACTCTTAGAGAAATATTGGTTTCAAAACCTATTACCAAAGAATCAACAAGGAAATCTATAAATTACTACTGGTATTAAACGAAAAAATAATTTAAATAAAAACATAATCTGCCATAGACATGGTTTTGAAATTAATTAAATCCGCTAGAATACTGAGGAGAGTCTGGTGTATGCAAAATGATTTTAAAGCAAGTGAACTATAATACTCTTTAGAAAAGAAACCGAGTATATTCGCATTGTGCCTTGTAAATATTTTAACAGTCAATATTAATTACAAATTAGCTTATATAAGGAACAGAGTTTAATCCACTTGACAATACTTAATTTCAAAACTGAAATATTACTCAGTGGCACTTCCACTACTCCAAACAATTTATGAAATTCACATTGTTTTTCCTTAAAATCTGATCCATGATATTTCAATTTCAAGTTAAACATTTGGAAATAAATATCGCGTAAGTCCCTTCCGAACCGTAGAGAATTCTGGGAGTTAAATATAATACGTTTTTCTTTCAAAATATACTATAAAATGTTTCAAACGTTTAATCTTAAAATCATTGTGAGTGAGACTGTCACACAGTACACAACCTCACTCAATTACGTTTCACTGTCGATGATAACCTCACGAGTATTTTTTTCATGAATGCGCAGCAAATTCCCATGAGATTGACTGCTAACTTATATCAAGACCGCGCAACCGGCCCCGAACAAATATTGTATAATTAAAATCGTAGTGGTAATTTATGGACATTTTGAAATGCCCTGATGAACCATTGCATAAATATTAGAAAAATATGAAAATTATTCACATAAAACTAATTAAATCTATAATAGTAACAAAAAACCTTAAGAATTATTTTTATATTTGTTGTCGCTTTATCTCTGCGAAAATAAAGCCGTGTGAAAATTTATATAATAATATTATTATTTTTATAAGAGCTCCTCATGCCAATTAATATAAATACTCCCGCTTTCCAACAACATTTTTTTTACTCTGTCGTTATCCCGAATTAGAAGCAATATTATTGGGTTTGCGCCCTTTTCAAGTTAGTTCATTCTATTATTCGTTTTCTGAAGACATCGAAAATAGACGCTCGCGCCGAGTACCATAAAATACAAGCATTCCAAAAATGCATCAATGAAGGCAAATATAGAAATGAACAAAAAAAAAAGCAGAATGTTCTGTTGAGATTTGTCTCAGAGTGACGTGCCAACTCCCCGTCCGCTGCTTGCTTGTCGTTCTGAAAGATCCTTAGAAAAGAAGCAGGCCAAAATAAAACGATGGGACTAGAAATAAAGATATGGGAGGGAGAGAGAGAGAGAGAGAGAAATAATGGAACCTTTAAAGTTGATTTGGTAAGCAGAAAACGACAAGACGAATTGAAAATCTAGTGAATGTAGGGAGAAAAGCACACGAGGACCCTACCGATAATATTCAGTCTAAATTAAACAATCTTTCCAAAACAAAATAATTATTTTCTTCTTCTTCTTCTTCTTCTTCTTCTTCTTCTTCTTCTTCTTCTTCTTCTTCTTCTTCTTCTTCTTTTCGTCCTACTACTACTACTACTTGTTCATATTATTATTATTATTATTATCTTCATCTTTCTTCTGCTAAATCATCTTCTTCTTCTCCTCCCCTCATTCTTCTCCTCCTTCTTATTATTACTCTTCTTCTCCTCCTCCTGTTTCTTCTTCTCCTCCTTCTCCCCCTCCTTCCACTTATTACTATTCAGCTACTTCTCATTCTCTTTCTATTTCTTCATTTTCAACTTCTCATCCTCCTCTTCTTTCTTCTTTTCATTATTATTATTATTATTATTATTATTATTAACACTCAGAGAAGGGCGCGATTTAAGAAAAGAAAGGAAAACCTCAATATTTAATACTAACTCAATTTAATAGCCACAGGTAAAACGACTGTAATTTCGACGAAAATCTTAAGGTGGCCATTCGGAAAATATATCCAGAATCCTTCGACTGTTCGATCCTTAAACAGGGTGCATATATCCGCAAACAATTTTTTTGTGTATTTCTTTATGGTATGGTCTACTAGGGATTACATCAATGAGTCTCTTTGAATCTTTTCCAATCAATCCGAGGGCTCCAACTACAAATGCAATTGTTAATGTCCTCAGGCGCCACATTTTTGAGATTTCGATTTCAAGGTCTTTGTATTTAGATAGTTTTTTGAAAATCTTCAAAGATACATTGCAATCTACTGGGACCGCCATATTAGTAAGTAGGGCCGTTTTGTTGTTGCGGTCTCTGAACACTATGTTAGAGAAATTAGCTTTGATTGTTCTGTCCGTGTTTCTTGTAAAGCCCCCCAAAATTGTTATAGGTCTTTTTATGGTTTTCATACTGATTTCTTTCCATTTTTTCCGAAGAAGTTGCACATTTTCCAGCGCATGTATTGGCCCACTCTGTTGTGCTGTGTCCTATATTCAGGGGGTGCCAATATCCGTGCAACCTGATACAAGATGGTCAATTGTTTCTTGATAATTATCACAGAATCTGCATTTGGAACTAAAATATTTTTTTAATATCTGTGCTTGTTAATTTCTACTTAGCAAGCATTGGTCTAGTGCAGCAATAATAAAACCTTCAATTTCAGCTTTTAACCCTGCAGCATGTAGCCACTGATAGGTACTGGGTTTGTCTACATCAGCTTGTTTGGTACGGGCAGGGTATTGACCGTAAAGCGGTTTATCTTGCCATCATTTCTCTATTTGGCCGTTTGAATTTACCTTTGTTTTATATTTGAAATATTTTGTAGCTTCCAGTTTTCGGTAGTTTCTAGATATCTTTAAGGACTAATTGTTTTAGTGTTTTAAGACAGTTCTAGTTGAACTAATCCTCTATATCCTTCGTATCTGGGCACATAGAAACGATCAACATCAGCTTTGGGATGATGCATGCGATGGCAGCTTTCTCGTTTTGGTATCCATTCGCTTAATGTCAGCTATGGTCCAGTTAAGAATGTTTACATTGCACCAATGTATTTATTGCTGATATTCAACTTTTTGAATTCGGATCGGTATTCAGTACCAGATTCCCTCTGCCTGTAGTACTCTTTTCATACATTCTCTTTCATTCGGGTATACTGTATTCCATCTCATTCACAAATTCCTAGATATCTATAGGCGGCGGCTTCTTCTTCTTCTTCTTGTATATGCAATATAAATATAATTAAGTTATATAAATATATAATAAAGCTATATATATATATATATATATATATATATATATATATATACATACATATGATTAAGCTCTCTCTCTCTCTCTCTCTCTATATATATATATATATATATATATATATATATATAATTAATGTATAATTATATACATAATTAAGCTCTTGAAAATATATTTCAACTGAGCATATATTTTATAAACCACAGCCAGCTGCGATAATGAATTGGAGCACTTTGACTGATTAGAGTTTGTTTACCTTCGTAAAATTAATACGCTAGAATTAGCTGTTTCTCTCTGCCGAGTGGTGTTGGCTTAGTGGTAGAAACACTGATATTAATTGACAATCGGTCGGATTTCGATTCAGGCTTGAGACATTCGGATGTCTAGTCGCACTGAGGAGCTGTGATACAGCGAATCAGTACTGCCTGCGAATGACATATCTATATATGTACTATATGTTCAAATACGACAAGCGAGAATTACGTATCTAAGTGATACCTCTATCTGCATTTCAATAACAATTCCATTATTTCAACTGTTATTATAGTTGGTTACACTTATGATAACAAAATTTACATCGAGAAACGGAAGTCAGAATTAAATGAAGTTTCATATATATATATATATATATATAGATAGATAGATAGATAGATAGATATAGGGCGAGAGAGAGAGAGAGAGAGATGTGATTATGCGAATAAATAGAGATATTTATAATCGTCCTTTATTAAGCTACCAATAACTCATTTAAGGTTACTCTATGGCAATTTTCTGCCTCAGGGAGTACAGAGAAAAATTGTAATCACAATTTATTGCTTTCTATTTTCATTTTATTTTTTAAGTTTGTTTGTTTGTTTTTTTTCGTCCGGCTATATGATTTGGGATCGTTTTCGTTCCATTTTTTACCGACAAAGCCGATATCTAACGACAACGATAAAGCGAAGTGGATCGCGTATGATGATGATCAGAAGATACACCTCCAAATCTCGCCATTCACTCCACGTTCCGTTGAAATAACGTACCTCCGGCAAAAGTTACTTCATCTCTCCTCAGCCGAGATCACTTTCATAATGTCCGTTGAGAAATATCGAGTTGAAACGAGGGTGTGGGCTATATGGTTTGCAAGGAGATATTAAAAACATGCCTGGAGGCAAAAACTGTTTATTCTGTGAGAACATGTCAGTCAATGAATTCAGTAATCGTATCTTCTCCTTCACAAAACAATGCTAAAGACAGCTGAAATTGATGATGTTATTTTCAAAAAGAATCAATTGCTTATTACACAAAAATTTGAAATCGTATCTTCCGCCACGATTTCAATTCCAACCGATAAAAACATTTAGCAGCAAGCATGCTCTATTATAAGGAATAACAAAACATGGGATCGAGGATGTAAACGCTAACAATATTGTCAAGAAATATCCATTACATTTTGGCATTGCAGAAAGTTGTTAAGGGAATCCTTTAAGTAAAATATTGTTTTAAATTTATAAATGCGAATGTCAGTGTGTCACACTTTTTCACCGTTCCTCCTAGAGGCCGGGGAGCAACATATCATACCATTTTGGAATCAGACCAGTCCATGAGCAAATTAAAGACATACCGAGTCGGATGCGGACCTGCAATCTGGAAATTTTCGATTTCCAATTTTTTCATTAATTTGGTGGTCTACGGGTATCCACTAAAAATAAACTTTAAAGTAATAAAAATATTAGCATTAAAACGTAAAATACATTAAATTTAGAAATATATATATATATTGTGCTCATATATATATATATATTATATATATATATATATATATATATATATATATATATATATATATGTATGTATGTGTGTGTGTGTGTGTCAGAGAAAGGGGAGTATTGAGAGAGAAATGTGTATAAAAAAGCATATTTAAGAAAACATAGAAAATAGATATTTACCAAAGACACAGGTCAATAGAGAGAAGGAAGGATAGATAGATAGATAGATAGATAGATAGATAGATAGATATTAACATAATGACATAGATATTAACATAATGACATAGATAGATACATAGATAGATAGATATTAACATAATGACATAGATATTAACAGGATGACATAGATAGATAGATATTAGTATAGATAGATAGATAGATATTAACATAATGACATAGACAGATATTAACATAATGACATAGATAGATAGATAGATAGATAGATATTAACATAATGACATAGATATTAACAGGATGACATAGATAGATATTAATAGGGATAGATAGATAGATAGATAGATAGATAGATAGATAATGTATAATTAGGAGTGGACTGTAAATGAACAACACTAAAACTTCACTCGAGAAATAACCGAAAGTCTAAGATGGATTATTCCGTCGGGAGTAAGAAAATTCTCTCAAGGTTAATGTGCACATTAATTCCTGCCAGTAGGAAAGAGGAAGCCCTGTGTTAGTGACCCAAATCGAATGATAAAAGTGTAAACGAGAATTTCAGTGCTGGTAATGGGAATAATGACAATAGACATAGTAGCTGCTGTCTCCTGTAATGGAGTCGGACGTTGGGAAAGGTTTGCCATGGGTGAGAAGAGACTCGTGACAAATAGCCAGTGGTCTTTTTCCCGTGGACGCTCATTACGATATGTTCGTCCCAATTGGTTTCGTTTCTTTCTTTGCAGGCCATTGACACGTCGAAGGTTGCTATTAAGGACGCCACATACCTTCTAATGAAGGCTGCTGCTTCTTTCAGTTTCGCTATTTTATTCTTTTATGTAGTCAAGGAGAAAAATAGCCGAGAGATATGGCAGGAAAAGATTAGGTTTAAAGTCTATTCAGAGGCAAGTGATGGTGTGAACAGATAAATTTCATGAAGAATTAAATGAAGTAAATAAAGAAGGAACGAATGAAAGAAAGGGAATAAGGAAAAGAAAGCAGAAACAAATGAAATAGGAAAAATAAAAGAAAGACAAAACATATAGGAAAATGCAATGGAGGCAAGGATTAAATATTGTCGATTGAAGAGAATAATAAAAATGAATGAGAGAAAGAAAAAAGAAAAATGTTTGAACAATAACAGATAAGAAAGAAAGAAAATGAATGAAAGTGAAAGACAAAATGAAGAAAATGAAAAATACGAAAACGATTGAAAGAAATACATAAACTCTACATGGAAGAAGAAGATATGTTCAGGGTAAAGCAATGATTCATTGATCAACACGAATGAAAGAAAGAAAGAAAATAAAGTAAGGCTGAAAATACTGTAGGCTTGCTAGAAACAACGAAAAAGAAAAAAAAGAAAGAAAACGAAAGAGCGAAAAAGAAAAAAGAAAGAAAGACCTAAAGAAAAGAAAGGTAGAAGAATATTGAGCAATATAATAAAAAAGAACAACAGACTACATGTCATAACAGATAAAAGAAAGAAACAAAAAAATGAAACGAAAAAAAAAAAAAAAACAAAAAAAAAGAAAATGAATTTAAATTGCCGCCAGTAAAAGTAAAAACAAACGTGAAGTTTTAAATAAATTTTCCAACATTTGTGAATCATTCATTGCGAAAAGATGTATTTGAAAGGACAAACCCGACTCAAAATCTTCTCAAAATACGTTTAAAATCACTTTCAAATCTTTTCTCAGAAGATAAACATGTCTCAAAATCACCTTTGTGTTTAATTCATCCAAAACATATTAACATTTTTTGTCGAAATTAACCTCGCTATTTTTATAAGTATTCACATATATGTGTGTGTGTATGTATGTGCCTGTGTTCGCGTGTATATATATATATATATATATATATATATATATATATATATATATATATATATATATATATATATATATATATATATATATATATATATATATATATATATATATATATATATATATATATATATATATATATATATATATATGTATACATTTTATTTTATGTGTGTGTTTAATTCTCACTAAAACATTGAAATACTTACTGTTATTTTATCGGTATCCTTTCAAATTTTTTAACATTATATTTCAGCACCGGTATGAAGAATTTCACCTCTGTGAAACAATTCAGCTTCCACCTGTGCGTTCGACCCAAAAGTTTCTCAATATTTCAACTATATATATATATATATATATAATTAATTTTGTTTGAAAGTTATTTTTGACGGATAGTAATATTCGAGTAGAATCTCTGTTTTTAATTAAACAGTATTCTTTTTTTATCCAACTACATCTACCGGTCTGAATATTCAAGAAATCTTGTCGGAAAAATATGCCATACATATATATATATATATATATATATATATATATATATATATATATATATATATATATATATATATATATATATATTGAAATATATAGAAACAGTACAAAATAAAACACACACCAGTCTAATGGTATTAAGGTCCTTAAAAATGAAAAGAAATAAGTTGTATTGGGTGACATGAATGAATGAAAAAAAAAAAAAAATTAAAATTATACCAACCAAGCTGCTTTTTTTTTTTTCCTGTCCATTTATTCATGTCACCCATCACAGACTTTTTTTCTTTTCTCATAATCTAAAAAAGGTTAACAGTTCTGATGAGAGGGGACGAAACCGGTCGACAGGTGTGTTTTATTTTTAAACTTATCATGGCCTAGTTTACAACATTTCTAGTTTTTAATGCCTTTATATATATATATATATATATATATATATATATATATATATATATATATATGTGTGTGCGTTTGTGTCTGTGTGTTTGTTTGTGTGTGTGTGTGTGTGAGTAAGTGAGCAGGCGCTTGACAAAGAGAATGTGTGTATGTTTGCAATCATATCACAGGTGTCCATTTGCATTTGCAGAAATAAAACCAATATTAACTTGAACGTTGGAACAGCATATTATATTTGTACTTTGAAATCGGTATTTATTCTGGCACATGTGAGAAAAACAGCACCAGAAAAACTGTCACGACAGTCTGAACACTTCTCCACCAACTCTAAAATGCCATGACCGCTATACAGTACTATTCAATGCATTTAACACGATGACCTTCATCTGTTGAAGTCACTGCAGAATTTTATCATTCATGGTATGCGTAAATATTTACTGATAGCAAACAAAAAATAGCTGAAATTTGGTCCTAGACGTATGGTAACATAAACTATCTCAATTTTGCTAACAAGACAACCTATTTTAAAGCATAATAAAATATCTAAAATACAATATTATATCCAGATGGTCCTTCTCATCATGAATACAGATAAAAAAACGTCACAGGAAAAAAGTAACGGCAAAACGTCAGATATAAAAAAAAGAAAAAAAGAAACTGAAAAATATTATTATTTTTTCCGCGTCTTTCTTTAATATAATTTTTTTAACCGTAACCCTAACACTAGACTAACCATATTATCCCTAATTCTTAACTTTAACTCTGAAAACAGCGTGAATATTGGACATCTCTGATCAACAATTGTGGATCAACAGTACTTGGATTCAGTGACAAAATTCTTTTTAACGAAAAATAATTTGACGCCTCCTGCCATGAAAATTATTGACAATAGTTATTTTCTAAGCGTAGCTTAGATGTGGCAGAAGGCCGAAAGTATGGGGCACCTAGTGAGGATCGAACTCACTTTTCAGACTGATCTAGCGAAACAAGCTTGCTAACCATTACACCACGCCGAGGTGCCTATTGACAATAGTAAGTACGGTTCAACAATCTGCTATAATGATTTCATGCATATCAAGCAAATAACTCCCAAAAGTAAGTTGTGACTTTTTCCTAGACAGAATTGTGTTTTTTTTTTCCTTTGAATTTTTTCCGTGCGACTACCGGCCACAATCATCAGCGGGTTATAAAAGCCCGTCGCATTTTTTATTACAACTTCAGTCGTTTTTTCTATTTTATTAGGCTTCATAGATTTCTCTTTCACAAACAAACCTATTATTTATATTCTGTTTGACGTCATGACATTTTCTTTTAAAATATCATCTTAAAATCGACTTATACACGAGCGTAATTGGAACGGACGGTATAAAAATAAGCAGCGATAAGTGAATACAAACCAAAGTTTCTACTTCTGTTTCGATAACGCCCAAACAAATGCCACTTACAAAATACTTCCTCGGATACTCAGGCAGCGTTCGTTTCAGTACATCGTTACATGTGCACTGCGTTACTTGCCTTTTTAAAAGACACTAAATCCAACATCGCCTTCTGTAATACATTCACCAAGATTGGCGCAATTCTTTTCCCAAAAATGAATCATTTTTAACAATCGTTCCAGCTCCCAAGTACGCTTTTTTTGTCGACCTACACGTTCCGGAAATCGTTTTTATTCGCTAAAATTTACAGCGATAAACCTGAATGGTTTTTAAAACTCGTTTGCTGCGCTCTTTCATTTCAGATTCGAGTCCGGAGAACTATGGTGCAAAATGTATCTCATAACTTAAAGATGACATTGACGAAATGCTTATGCAAGACGTTCAGGGCAAATGCAACAAGATAAGTTCCGGTCGAGTGTTAGAGCTTCGAATATAATATCCTGATCAGAAAGATTTACCTAGCGAAACGGAGATTCGACAGAGACTTACTGCATTCTGTGCCAAAATCGAAAGGCAAGAGACTGTCAGACTTAAATCTAGATATAGTTAAAAACCATTCAAGATTGTTATTGCAAATATTACCCCCACTAAGAATTTATCCATCAAATCAGTTCAGCTTCTGGTAGAATTCAAAGAAAGAACGAACAACCAGATAGAAAATGAACATTACCCAGAAAATAAAAACATTAAATCATTCTGATTTCTTTTTATATCCACTCCCTTCAGAACGTGGACAGTCATGGCTCTCCACAATTTCCTGTATTTCTTTTTTATATGTATCGTTTGACTCTTTACCATACATCTTCGTCCTTATTCTGCCATCCATTACTACAAACAATAAGTGGTTATACTTTGGCTTGCTATCTACAAGGAAAAAATATCTACACCGTAGAATTTTTATTTTGGAATGATATCTACTTTGTATTGGTAACTTATCCTTGTAGATAGCAAGCCAAACTAGCACCATATTTTACTATGTAGATATTCCAAATTAAAATTTGTACGATGTAAACATTTTATCCAATATATACGCTGTTTATCGCTAGAATTTAAATAAAAGAAAACAATTTAATATTTTAATTATATTTTCTTTATGTTATATATACGTTATATATTTTACTATGTATATATATTTTCAAAACGAAATTTGTACGGTGAAGATATGTTTCTTGTATATATCAAGCTAAAGTAGCAGCCCAATAAATTTTACTATGACCCACTTGCCTTCGAAAATGTCATATGCCTGCTAAATTCTCTAAGACTTCTTTCCGTCTTATAAAGGCAGGCAATGGAAAAGGCCATAGGCAGATTATGTAAGAATGACGCTAGAGCTTTAAAATCTTACATGCATTAACTTAAGCTTTATAAAGCTATTGATTCTGTGCGTCTTTTACTGAAATAGCATAATTCTTCTTATTTATAATTTTTACTTAAGAAACAAACCAAACTTTCCATGTGACCAGCTAAAAGACGGGTAGACTTGAGTTAACCAATCTTTAGAAAATACAAGTTGTCCGAGAATGATAGGACATATTTTAAATTCAATTATCTTGGACTAGCAGTAGAGCCCGGCGTTGCCCGGGGATGTAACAGTAAGAGATAGATCAAGTATCAACCATCATAAAAACTGAAAAAAAAAAATTGACAAAGATTATTGTTTAAGGTTGACGGACACGCATGTCTTGTTTATTTGGGGTTTTTTTTGCGAATTGATCAAACCCAAACTTAAACAAAAACATTGTTTTCAATCGTTATGAGTCTACCGATTGAATAGAATTTTATTATAAACAATTATCTTGTAAATGGAATTTTTAAAGCATTCTGAATGTAAAAATAAAGAAAAAAGTGTTCAAGATAATAAGAAACACTACCTGCCAAAAAAAAAAGTGAAGTTTTGTTGAAATCGGTTGAAAAATGTAGGAAATTCGATCTCATATATAAATGAACACAAACACGCGCACAAACAACCTGGGTTTTGTAAGTATAACTCAATATGAGTTATCCCTCTTTCATTCTCGTGATGCCTCTTAATCGGGTTTTCAAATTGATTTCGTGCAAAAACAATATTTTTTTCCAATTTTTGGCGGTGTCAGAACCACCGCAAGGTAATTTTACGTAGTCCTGTGAAGTTTTGTTGAAATTGGTTGAAAAATCGGAAGAATAAGAAATCGGATCCAATATATAAACGTACAGACACACACGCACACACACAACCTGGGTTTTATAATAAGTATGATTATATATAAATGACAGTGAGTACCAAATATATTTATTGCATAAATTTTATACAGCAGTTCAAAATATTACATCCCTGAGATGGTCATCACCACTAAGAGAATATGCACGAGCTCGCAGTCTTCTTTTAAACAGAGTTGGCATTGCCATTGCCTGTCTCATGAAAGGTTGTAACAGCACACAGGATCATCTTTCAGGATAATGCCTATTGCTTTCCAAAATGCAGA